TTTGGTTGGTCAGTATATCTTGCTTGCCCTACTGTGAACACCCAATCAAAGAGGAATGGATGATACCGGAATGAGTATGCAGGGAAAAGGGAAAGGACAAAGGAGATGTAATTAGGTTCAAATAAGGTAAAGGGATGGATTTTATTTAGAGCAAATTGGAGCCCTGTTACCTCTTATAGTGGGTTGAATGACTGGTCCCCAAAGCTATGTCCACATTGTAACCCCAGATCCGTGTGAATGTGAACCTATTTGGAAAAGGTGACTTTGTAGATATAATTAAGTAAAGGATTGCAAAATGAGATTTTCCAGAATTTAGGATGGACCCTAAATCCAATGACAGATATCTTTTAATAGAGATAGGAAGAGGGAGATTTGGGACAGAGACACACAGAGGGAGAAGGCCCTGTGAACCAAAAACAGAGATGGGAGTGATGCTGCCATAAACCAAGGAACATCCAGAGCTGCCAGAAGCTGGAAGAGGTGAGGAAGGTTTCTCCCCTAGAGCTTTCAGAAGGAGCATGGCTCTGCAGACACCTTGGTTTCAGATTTTTGATTCCAGAGTTGTGAGAGAACAATTTTCTATTGTTTTAAGGGACCGAGTTTGTGGTACTTTGTTATGGCAGCCCAAGAAAATTAATACACCCTTTCTTTGCTCATTTGCCAGAGAAGTGGGTACGCAATTGAGTGTTCGGGTCCATGAAGAAGGTTTTCAGAACATTAGAGAACGAAGGCAAAGCACCAGGGAAGTGGCTGGCTCAGCAGCACACAGAAATAGCTCTTTTTCTCCCAAAATCATCAGTAGAAACCAAAAGTATCCACAGAAAGAAAGTTTCTGTTACTTATTTAAGTTCACCCTGAGAAAGTATTTTCTACTTACAAGAGAAGTAATAGTAACAGAAATAATGATAATTATAATTACCGAGAGCATGCCTTATATCAGACACTAGATCAAGTATTCTACATAGATCAATTTTTCTGATGAAAAATTAAAACTACAAATGATTAGGTAAACCTTTATATAGCGCTTACTATATGTCAAGCCCCATTTTAAGAATTATACAGTTATGAACTATTTCAATCCTAATAACCTTGTGAAGGAGGAATTATTATCTCCACTTTACAGATAAGAAAACCAAGGCATGGAGAAGTTACATAAGATGTCTAATATCACACAGCAAGGAAGTGGAGGAGCTGGCATTCAAATCCAGTAAGTCTTGCCCTTGCCTAAAGGTATCCCCTTAAGAATAGTGGTTTGACTGCAGGTGTGTCTGACCCCAAATCTTATGTTTATTTTATAAGCGTCACCACTTCTTTAAAAAATGAGAGGTTGAATCACATTGTGTGAACAGTAGCCTACCCATATGACCACCCTGTCTTCCTTCTCAGTTATAGGCTCTGAGGGTCTTCAGCCAGGAGACCTGATTCCTCCCTGTTGCTTACACAATCCAGAGCACAACAGCCAATGTAGATGGAAGCTCAGACCCTCAGTGAATGACATTGGTTTTGTGGGCCAGTCTCTGGGAGATTTCAGGAGAGCCCTAGCCACCCTCTTCCATTCCCCCTCCTCATGTTGTCCTATCAATGTTTACCCAGTTGTGTAACTGAGGTTTTTATTGTTTCAACAAATATTTATCAGGCATTTTTGTGTGCTCTGCAAAGTGGCAGATGCTGAAGAGAGAGTAAAGGTCTAGGCCAGGGGTGGGCAAACTTTTTGACTCGAGGGCCACAATGGGTTCTTAAACTGGACCGGAGGGCCGGAACGAAAGCATGGATGGAGTGTTTGTGTGAACTAATATAAATTCAAAGTAAACATCATTACATAAAAGGGTACGGTCTTTTTTTTTTTTTAGTTTTATTCATTTCAAACGGGCTGGATCCGGCCCGCTGGCCGTAGTTTGCACGGCTGGTCTAGGCCCAGGCAAAGACCATGTGGTCTCCAATTTAGAATGATAAATGCTATCAAGGAAGAAAGAATAAGATTAATGACAGCCACTATTTTTAGAGTGCTCATTATGTGCCAGTCATTATATAATCCTCCCAACACATGCTGATCTGGGAGAACACAGGAGACCACCTAACCCAGTCACCGGAGGTCAAGGAAGGCTTCTTGGAAGAGTCCTGGCAAACACCTGAGGGATGAGTAGGAGTTAGTCAGGTAAAGAAAGAAGGTCAAGGAGAAGGGTCTTCTAGGCAGAAGCCTGTAGCCGAGAAAGCACCTGCATATGCTGTAGAAAGGGAAAGTAGCTCAGTGTAGCTGAGGACAGAGCAGGAGGTAAGAGTAGCAGTGGTTGTGGTGGGAGAAGTATGTCTGTAGGTGAAGATCATCATGGCCTTGTAAACCAGGATAATGTTTACTAGTACAGCTCGACTGCAGTCCTCCCTATCAGTGCCTGTCAGCTGGAACCCTCAACATTTTCCTGCTCTTGCTAATTTCTCTGTCCCCTGCCCACTGCCTGGAGTCCTGCTTCCAGGTGGATGAACAACCCAAAATGACAGCCCTTCCATTTATCTGATTGCAGGCACCACTATTGTCCAAAAGTAATTTGAATATTGGCACCAGCTTCAATGATGCTCAAGTTCGCCACTCCTGTAGACACCACCAAATCGATAGCTGGACACCACCAGCCCTGGAAAACAGGTCCACAGGAGGATCATTCCTCTAGCCCTGGTCCAGCTGCTCCTTCCTCCCCACTTTTTTCATGCCTTAGGGCATCCCTGAATGCTTCAGGAGAATGCCAACCCTCGGCAGGTTACTGGTAAGAAGAGCTGTGTCTTGGCAAAGGCTACACAGCTGGTCAGTGGGAGGGAACCCTGGCCTCGTGACTCTACATCCAGGGTTTTGCTCAAGTGCAAGGGCCTTAGAGACATGTAGCCTGTGTCTGAATTCAGGTTGTACTGATTTGGGAGTAAGTTACTTAGCTTTCATAAGCCTCAGTTTCCCCAACTGTAAAAAGGGGTAAACATGTATCTCTTCCCTAGGACTAGAGTGAAATTAGAAAACATGTTAACGACTCATATCATGAAGCTTGTAGTGGATGCATGGTGTGGAGCAACGCTAAATTCCCCTAAGGTCCGAGGCATTCCTTCTCCTGGCAGCTGATGGCTCCCTGTGTCAAAGGAAGCTTTCTTGCTCGAAGTCTCTTTTGGAGGCCAGTCCACATTCAACGAGGGGTTGATGTAGGAATATAAATTCTGGCCCCCTTTTCTCCTTGAGGGTCATCAGTAGATTCTCTGTCCATCTTCAGAGTTCCTCCTGAGATCAGCTTAGATCTCTGTTGCCAATGCAGGGGGCTCAGCTTCTTTCAATCCTGTTTTCTCTGCTCCCCCACAGGTGCTTTTCCTTAGAGCAGTCTCAATAAATTTGCTGCATGCAAATCTCAGAGCCTCAGATGACCTAAGCTCTAATGATGCTGAGGAAGGTGGTGTGGTGATTATACCTCACTGCTTAGCAATTAAGCCTGTGCTGATATTGACAGGAATATTGAACTGATGGCAAGTTAGTTGATTTGTTATATTTACTGCCTATTCTCAAATAAGTTATTTCTTTGTTTATTTAAAGTTTCTATTAGAAAGATAATGCACAAACTTGAAATTCACACATATGTATGATTTTTACAAAAGTGCAATGTTTCTTAGCAAGGACCCAGCTTCGAGCTTCTTTCAGACATTGATTGTTCTCAGTAAGTCATGAGTCTGGGTTAAGCAGAATGTATCCTTTACATTCGAACTGTAAACCAAACAACTAATCATGTATTCAGTTATAACTGTTGTTACCTATTTTTCCCAAAGTCTAAATCATACATATCAGAAACTCTATTATTAGTAAGAGTATAGGATGATTTGGGCAAACCAATATTCTGATAGAGTTGTTATATTTCCATTTCCAGTTTTTAATGAATCCTACATAATAAAGAGGTAATATGCAAATCGACCCTCATGCCCTCACACAAGATGGCCGCCCCCATGTGGTCAAAGATGGCCGGCAGGGGTTGGGGTTGGGAGGAACCAGGCCAGCAGGGGCGGGCAGTTAGGGGTGACTGAGCCAGCAAGGGAGGGCAGTTGGGAGTGACCAGGCCTGCAGGGGAGGGCAGTTGGGGGCAACCAGGCATGCAGGGAAGGGCAGTTGTGGAGGACCACGCCGGCAGGGGAGAGCAGTTGGGGGGGACCAGGCTGGCAGGGGAGGGCAGTTAGGGGCAACCAGGCTGGCGGGGGAGGGCAGTTGTGGAGGACCAGGTCGGCAGGGGAGGGCAGTTGGGGGTTACCACCAGCAGGGGAGGGCAGCTGGGGGCAATCGGGCCAGCAGGGGAGCAGTTAGGTGTTGATCAGGCTGGCAGGGGAGTGGTTAGGGGGTTATCAGGCTGGTAGGCAGGTGAGTGGTTGGGAATCAGCAATCCCGGATTGTGAGAGGTATGTCCAACTGCCGGTTTAGGCCCAATTGCACAAGGATCGGGCCTAAACCAGCTGTTGGACATCCCCCGAGGGGTCCCAGATTGGAGAGGATGCAGGCTGGGCTGAGGGACACCCCTCCCCCACCCAAGTACATGAATTTCATGCACCGGACCTCTAGTTAGAATATAGTAAAACATTTAACACTAAAAGTCTGCTGCTCACAATTTAATTTTATTTTTGGTAATTCCAAAGACATTTGGCATTTGAATAATTATCAGTGCATTATAAATGTGCAGAGATAAGTTACTAGAGAATGAGAGATAAAGCCGGTTTTAATAACTGTGTCTATGATTATGACTCGTGAATACCCATATTTGCATACATTAATCTTATTGAATATAAATATGAGGACTTGTGTTATAAAAATTGGTGATTGGAGTACAGTTGCTCATGGGCACAGTAGGGAAGTCATTGATTCAAATGGGATTAGATAGATAGGTAGATTTTTAAATTAAGATACAATTTATATATACTGTATAATAGGTGTATAGTTTGATAAATATTGAAAACTGTATACCCATGTAAGCAATATACTAATCAACATATAGAACATGTCCAAAGCAGGAATTATGTGGGAAAAGTCGTCTGGATTTCTGATGAGAGCTTGTCACCTACTGGATCCTGGAACCAGCTCACTCTTCTCATCTCCATTGCTTCTGGCAGCTTCCACTAGCATTCATAGCACCTTCCCTCTGCTGATCCTCATTGCACAGTTTTCATCAGATTGGAGGTGACTTCATGTTCCCATGAAGGGTGTTTTCATCTCTTCCTTCCCTGCAGACTGTTGATGGCTTCCTGGTTTCGAGTGATCTTTCCTCATAATGAACAGAGTGATCAGATTTCTCCACGCCTTCCAGGAGCTCTCCAAACCTTGTTCATAAATCCTCTCAGCACAGTCCTGGGGAATGAGTAGTGAGCAAGTTACATGCTTTGCTCTTATAGATGGAAACCTGGAAGCAAAGTGAAGTTAAATGGCTTCCTAGCCCATGAGTCTGACACTGACTCCGACTGGTATGATTCAGTTGGTGCTATGGGTTTGTTTTCTTTCTCCAGCAGGAGGGAGAGTGTGGTGGATTTCAGGAGGCAGTTATCTATCTTATCTCTGTAAGCTCCTCAGTTTTTCTGAGAGGCTGCCCTATAGTCCAGGTGGAAGGAAACCACATCCTGGAGGGCGATGAGCAGCAGGAAGAGAGTGAGTCTGACTCCGACTGGTATGATTCAGTTGGTGCTATGGGTTTGTTTTCTTTCTCCAGCAGGAGGGAGAGTGTGGTGGATTTCAGGAGGCAGTTATCTATCTTATCTCTGTAAGCTCCTCAGTTTTTCTGAGAGGCTGCCCTATAGTCCAGGTGGAAGGAAACCACATCCTGGAGGGCGATGAGCAGCAGGAAGAGATGCAGGGAGATTTGCTGTGATAAGTTTCAGGTCTCGGTGATGTTGTTAGAGATTAGGAGCAAGGAAGAGAGCCAAGAGTCAAAGATACCAAAAGAATAGTCAAAATGGCAGTTCTTCTCTTCTTGTAGTTCTATCTTCAGCAGCTTAATAGTTTAATTTAAATATAGGCAAACATTTTTAATTAGACTCTTCAGTAGAAAAAAAGATGGTGATGAAGATGTTGTAAAGAAGATGAATTTTCTCAGAAATCTCTTTCCTCACTCCAAACACTCATTCCTCCAAATGCTGTTCTTTACGTTAGCTGATTGGCTTTGCTTAAATAGCCATATTTATTAGGTGAAATATATATTTAGAGGCTTAGGAAATTACGCCAAAGGATTTTCCATGATTTCAGCAAAGGTAGGTGTAGCCAGCCAGTGTGTCAACTTTTGTAAAAGGAACTGTGGGGCTGGTACGCCCCTGCCCTACCTCTCCCAACAGAGCCAGGAGACTGGATCAATGGGAAATGGCACCATTCTCCAGCTGTTCTTACTGGCTGGCTCATGGTTCACCTCATCTCCTTAGCATAATGACTATGCTGTGGATTTGGCAGTTGCAACATCAAGTCCACCGCAAAGTCTTTCTCACTTCCAGGGAGTTCCATTGGACTTCCTTTAGTTTGGTGTAAGATCGAACCACCAATTTAATCATTAGTGTTTTGAGAGAACAGGAGACTGTCTCCCACACCATGACACCATTCACTCAGCCATGAGTAAACAATCCAGGTCTTTCTTTACGGGCGAGCTCCCAAAAAAGTGTCAACCCGCAAAGCATGAGCAACAGGACGGCATGCCTTATACAGCACAGCCTGGGCATGCCACTCCTATTTTGTTATGCAATATTTTACATGCACCACAGCCTGAGTAAAACTTTCTCTGGTACCTTCTTCTGACTCACAAGGGCTTTAACTTAATCCACTGTAGACAATCAAGGATTCCATTTAGCTGTATTTATGGAAGAGGCATCATCAAGGTTGCTTAGCAGCAGAAATTGGTTTATTAAAAACAACTTTCTGTGAGGAAATGAGCCCCACATCTTCTTATGGATTCATGTCCTCTCATTGATTGACTTGCTCACTGAATTACTAAAATATTTTCTCCTCATATGTGCTGGGGACGGGGGGTGCACCTGGAGAGCAAAATTGTGGGGGAAAGCTGGGTATTAAAAGATGAGACACTTTGGGGCTACACAGGGGGCCATGTTTCTTCTGTCCAGAAACCTTTAATTAGAAAGTCTGAGCGCTCGGCCTGTCTGTGTGTTCTTCGCCCTGATGTCAGGTTTCATTATGGGCTTCAGCAGGATGAGAAAGAGGCTTAGAGAGGGAGAAGGGACATGTGTCATGCTGGGAATAGGGCCAATCAACCCAGGAAAGGATGTAGACAAGTTACTTATTACCTAGTAACTTGAAGCACCACGGTGGCCAAACTCCATTTATTGAACGATCTAGATTAGCAGTTACACTTCTGGGGCCAGGAAGGTAAGAAAAATAGAAACGCTACCCACACACATAAGGGGGTGGGAGAGAAAAGTATTGACATTTGATGGATGATTATTAGGTGCTAGCCACTGTTTTAAGCATTTTTTAACACACAAAAATAATGTCTTTAAAGATGAGAAACCAAGATTTTGAGAGGTTAAGTTCATGAATATGATCACCTGTATGCAGCAGAGATGAGATTTAAACTCTGGCAGCCAGCACTCTATCTACTGCAGGACCTAGGCCCTCAGTCTCAGATGAT